ATCTGAATAAGATCAGTGGATTGAGTCTCATTCAATGTACTGGTTGTGATACTGTACCACAGTTTGTTGTTTTTTTAACAATTGTAGTTTGGGTGAAAGTTTACGGAGCCAATTAGTTTTCCATTCAACAATTTAATACACATTTTCTTTTAAGTTCTAGTTTTTCAAAATGTCACCATAGAAGGAAACTGGGTAAAAGATACATGAGATCTGTTTTATTTTGTTCAGTTGCATGTAAATCTACAATTTCTTGATAAAGTGTTCAATGAAAAGAATGAGTGAGGAACTGGGATGCGTGGAGAGGGAGGTGTAGCGGAAAGCCTATTCACACAACCTGGTGAAGACATTTGGAAGGCAGATTAGGTGACAACTGCCATACACAGCCAGGAACAGAAGCCAGGACTCTGGACAACTAACTGTTCTCTCAACAAGTATTTATTGAGTACCTATAACATGCCCAGAACTGTTCTAGAACCTAGGCCCGGGAGTTATAGCCATGAGCAATGGCTCAAGAATGCTCCCAACGAAATTAGAAGAAATTCTAGAATCACTGGCTCAGGGCAAGAAGACAGGGCAGAGACGGGCTGGGAGGGATGGAGAGACTACGGCGCGGGGGCGGAGAGCGGGTGGGTTATGAGGTCGAACAGCATGAACCCACTGCAGCACAGATGTCAAATCTTCAAATGCCGTTCGGGTGAACACGGAGCAGTGCTTGGCGTGGACAAGAGGCCAGGACTAAAAGTAACAGGACAAGCACGATCGGACTGGGTGCGAGACTAGCTCAGGGGAATGCTATCGGCAGGGGACTCAGGTAGCTCCTGTTATCCTGGGTTGATACCTACGGGAAACTACAACACCCAGCGTGCCCCGCGGCGTGTCCTAGGAGGAGTCGTCATGTGACCGATACTCACGTGCCTCCACAGCCAGCTCTAGAATGAAGCGCCGCAGGTAGGTGGTAGAGGAGGGTATGGAGCGTGGAAGCGGTGGGTGCGCGGGATCTCAGAGCCTTCCACCGCGGCAGAGGTCGGCCCATTCCCGGCAGTGCTCCGAAACCCGGAGACTTGAGCCTCACGCCCGCCTTCCAGTCGCACCGGCTCCGCTGCGCCTTAGCGTGGCCTGTCTCCACCTCGTCCTAGGCCGGGTTCTAGTCCTGTAGCCCCTCCCCAGTTTACCCCACAGTAGCCCACCCTTATCACTTCAGGGCTAGGAGCCGTCTCTTCGTCCCGTGTGCGCCCCAACCCATCTCCCAATGCAGCGTACCGGTTGTATTTTCAGGGCTCCAGCCCTAAGCTGGGCTGGGCGTCCATTCAGATTGGTATCCGAAGGGCCTAGTGCAGTGTTCACAGCTCTGGCTTGTGCATTCAAACTTCTAGTTCTGGCTCTGCCAGCTACCCTGTGACCTTAGTCTACTGCTCCCGCCATGGGCCTGTTTCCCCATTGATCTGGTTCCATTCCATGAGCTAAAATGAAAGCCATTCTGTCCCCCCGACCTTCTGCTGAAGCCAGCATAAAAACAGCCCAAACTCTTTCTGCTGACAGCGGATTTTAGGGAAAGTCTTAACAAAGAAGAAAGTGGGGCCAGAGAGTGAACTGAGAAGAATCACATCACACTTCTTTGAGAAGGCACTCCACCATAGCCAATCAAGTGGAAAAAACAGGTATTTGGGGTCCAAGCAACTGAGCAGTGAGCTGGGGGAAGGGGTGCACAGAGTCTTCAGGCGGTTGGGCCACCCTGCCTCTGACTCCCCAGGGGCCACTGCCTGAGCTCTCATGTAGGTGACAGCAGAGGCTGGGCTGATGATGCAGACCTAAGGGAGAGTCAGGAAGCTGTCCCAAGCCTTGCAGCCTTGGACAGGTGGCCCTGTGTGTCTAGGTCCCTGTGTCTAACATGAGGATAGTGGAGGACATAATTCAGGCCCTACCGAATTTGCAAGGCTATCTCTGGAGCTATCCTGGAAGTCTGAGACTCTGCCCCCACTACCCACAACCTTAGCCTTAGTTCTGTGTTGATTTTTTTGTTGTTGTTGAGTTGCTGTGTGGGTGGCTGGTTACATAAGAGCAGTCCCTGTGGCATCTGAGTGATCTTTCTGGATTTGGAGCCAGCAGAGGGATGTCTCCCCTCAAGCTTCGTGAGAGATGTCTGAGAGCACCTTAAGTTTCCCTTTTACCGCCCATGAGTGTGGGGTTCCCAGCTTTGTGCATGCATCGTCAGGAGAAAAGTGGGAAGCATCTGACTACCCCGGTTAGTCCTCCAAAACCCCCAGTGGGCTGAGGGCATCAGGAGGCATGCTGGCCATGATGGGCAGTGGTTGGGTTGGTCATTATCACTGAGTCTGGTCAGTCTTCTCTGCCTTGTGCGCTAAACCGGGAAGGGACAAGTAGAGAGAAACGCAGCCTCTTGTTTGGATAGCCTGGGTTCAAGACTCAGGAAGGAGGATACTGTGGGGGAGTCTTTGACAGATTTCACTGGCCTTTGTGGTAGCCATCCAACAGCAGCCTCTGGGGAAGGCCCTTTCTGGCTTCTCAATGCCTACTCAGCCCCTGACCTTTTCACCTGGCCTTCATGTTCCTCTTCCTCCCATTAGCTGCCCTAATGCCTTTGTGCCTATTGTTACCTGGCCAATGGCACCTGGCCTTAGTTTTGGTAAGGGTTCTGCTCCCTGCATGCTGAGGGTTGAGCATCCTTAGGGATGATGAGAGTGGGGAGCAGGGAAGAGGGGCGTATGCAAAAATAACTGTAGCAATGACCATTTATTGAGTGCTAAACCCTTACGGCACATAACAACAACAAACCCTTACCAGGAAAGATGAGGCAATCTGCTTCCATAAAATTTCACAGCCCTGAAAATCCTATGAGGCAGTTCTGCTCTGTCCTAAAGGGTCACTGTGAGCCAGAATCAACTGGATAGCAGCTGGTGGTGGTGGGAAGGCCTTACTAATATTAATATATTCCTCACAGTAACATATGAGACAAATGCTGTTATTATCTCCATCTTCCAGGAAAGAAAAAAAAACACACTGTCATCGAGTCAATTACAACTCAGCAATCCTATAAGACAGGGTAGAATTGCCCCATACAATTTCCAAGACTGTAAATCTCTCTCCACTCCACAGAGTGGTTAGTGGGCATGAATCACCAAGCTTGTAGTTCTCAACTGAATGCTTTAACCACTGCACCACCAGAGCTCCTTAGGAAAGGAAAAGAGACCCAGAAAGGTGAAGTGACTTGCCTCCCAAGAAGTGGACGAGTCAGGATTCTGACTTCAGAGTCTAATCAGTGACTGAGATCGTAGCCCCTCCCTGCTCAGGGCTGCTGTTGCTCTGGGGCTGGCCTGTCTCTTAAGACTCTCAGGCTGGGAGCTGAGCATCTCAGGGTTCTGGGAAGAGGAAGGTACTTCTCATTTTTCAAGGGAGAGGACCAAAGCCAAAGAAGCAGCTGTAATTCATCTCTGTTTACCAAGGGAGTGAAGAGAATAAATCAGTGATAAGCCTGTTGCTGAATTCAGCTGTGCCTGAAGTACCGTCTTCCAATTTGGGTGGGGCAGATAACAAACAGATGGATGCTCGAGTCACATGGGTCCTGGGTTTGAATCCTAGCTGCACCACTGACCACTGTATGACCTAGGGGAGAGTGCTGCACCTCTCTGCAACTCAGTTTCCTCCTCAATAAGCTGGTGACAGTCGAACCACTTTTTAGGGCTACAGTGAACATTGAATGGGACAGAGTATTCCGTAGCTGCAGTGGTGGCCATTGATAATAACATTATACCCTGCATGTTCAGCCATAGAGCCTTGCAGTCTAGCCCCAGGGGGCAGGCCTGGTGTGTGAATTGCCAGCTCATGAAGGAATGCTCACAGGGAACCTGCTGAACAGTGCCGGCCCCAGAGTGCTCTGTGGAGAGCTCATTGAGTGTCCCAGGAAGTAGAGAAGACATGAGACCCAGAAGGGTAGCTGGCAAAGAGTGGCTGGAGCATTCAAAGCACAGGATTGATAATCCATTATTTCCCCAAGGACCTAGGCGGGAGGCACCATTCCTCGCCAAGGGCTGCCTTCATCATAGTCATCACGTGCCTGGGAGCAGGGCTGCTCAGCTTCCCAGTAGAGTCCCACTGCTGTGGGAGACAAAAAAAATAAATAAACCAAACTCACTGCCAATGAGTCGATTCCTACTCGTAGCGACCCCATTGGGTTTCTGAGGCAGTAAATCTTTATGGAAGTAGATTGCACCATCTTCCTTCCACAGAGTGGCTGGTGGGTTTGAACTGCCAACCCAGTTAGCAGTCAGATGACTTAGGCATTATGCCACCAGATGCTGTGGGAGAGGAGTGAAAATTGGCCTGAATTTTGAAGGGCCTTGAAAGCCATACAGAATTTAGACTCTGGGCCAGAAGGGAGCATGCTGGGCTGTAATGCTTTGAAATAGCCTCAGTTCTTCATGCCAGCTGCTCATGGGGCCCTGTGGTGTGCAAAAAGGCTGGAAAGCCAGACAGATCTGGGTTGAAATCCTGCTCATCTACTTGCTGATGTGTGACCATGGGTCAGCAATTTGATCTCTTAAACCTTGGGACCACGAGGCTGTTACATGCCTTGCATGAGATAAGATATGTCTGTGACACGCCTGACCTGATGCCTGGCCTCTAGGGCTGATGTGTGAGGGCTCCTCCTTTGTATGTTTACATCTTAGTTACACTACTGGCCTGTGAGCCTGAAGCAAGCAGGGTTTGTGTCTGCTGAATGTTTGTATCTGCCACCCCAGCTATGATGTTGATGACACCAATGTAGTGTTCTGTACAGAGGCCCACTTGGATTTGAGTCCCCCATGACCTTGGGAAAGTTCTTTGAGAAAGTCCCAGTTTCCCCATCTCAAGATAACAGTAGTACCTTCCTTTGTCTCATCTAGGTTGAAAAGAGCCAGAGCCCACAGGCCTCCCAGGATATGCGCTCCAACAGGCTGGCACTGCCCTCCAACTGAGCCCTGACTATCCCTTCCACTGCCCAGGGGATGTGGTCGTGAGGCAAAGCCCACAGACCCTGCAGGCAGAGGGCTTTTGGGGCCATGGCCCAGGTCAGCATCGACAGCAGCCCTGGTGAATGGGGCTGGAGCGCGGATGCCGGGGAGCGGGCCCGCCTACTGCAAAGTCCCTGTGTGGACCCAGCCCCCAAAGTTGACGGGGAGGCCTCTTCCGGGGATCCTGGCAGAGGTAGCACTTCCACACTTGGGGCCATCTTCATCGTAGTCAACGCCTGCCTGGGGGCAGGGCTGCTCAACTTCCCAGCAGCCTTCAGCACTGCCGGGGGTGTGGCAGCTGGCATCACACTGCAGATGGTAAGGGTGCTGGCATGGAGAGCAAGGGTGCCATTCAGGTGGTAGGCTGGGCTCTTTGCCTCAGAAGGGAGGCTTTGTTTCAGGGTTGGCCAATAGGTGACATATGTGCTGCTTAGTCTCCCCTTCCTCACACATGGCAGACATTACTAATCTATTCCATCATTCTTTTTTCTGAGCCCAGGTGGGGCTTTAAAAACTCTTCCAACAATCAGGAAAGTTTGAACATTAACTACATATTTACTTATTTTAGGTGTCACGATGGTTTTGTAGTTATATTTTAAAAGAGAGTCCTTATCTCTTTAGAGATAAGATCTCATTTAGAATCCCATACTGAAATATTTATTGATGAAGTGATATTAAGCTTATATTTTATTTGCTTTAGAAGAATCTAGAGTGGGAGGGAAATAGATGAAACAAGACTGGCCATGAACTGATGGTTTTTGAAGTTCAGTGATGGGTCGATGGCAGTCCATAATACTCTTCTGTCTACTTTTGCTGTTTGAAAATTTTCACAAATCTCCATCATTAAAGAAAATTTCAACCTGGCAGCCTGCAGCAGTCAATTAAAATTGATGTGTGAGGTGAGCCCATTTGCCAAGCCCACTATAGGCGCTGGCCCAGGAGATGCTGACGGAGCCCAGGATGCCCTCTGCTGCCAGGCATTCCCCCAGCCCCTTGCTCTCTGCCCTTGCCCGCAGGCCATGCTGGTTTTCATCATCAGCGGCCTCGTCATCCTGGCCTACTGCTCCCAGGCTAGCAATGAGAGAACCTACCAGGAGGTGGTGTGGGCCGTGTGCGGCAAGCTGACTGGGGTGCTGTGTGAGGTGGCCATCGCTGTCTACACCTTTGGCACCTGCATCGCCTTCCTCATCATCATCGGGGACCAGCAGGACAAGAGTGAGGTTCCCCTCAGTGCCCACCTCCTCTTTTCTGGGGACCATGGGGTAGAGGCAGGGGCAGGTTACCCAGTAAGCACCATAAGCACGGGCTTACATGTTCTTACTAATCTGTAAGTGTACAAGTTGTTCACCACAGATTAGTAAGTAAGCACAAGTAAGCCCATGCTTACATTGCTTTCTGGGTAATCTGTCCCTGTCAGGAATTATAAATTTGAAATCAGGCTGTGATTCTGTAGGAAGGTGGTGTGGGGCTGGGAGAGAGACAGATGCCAGCCATACCTAGAAGCAGAATCTCTGCTGTGGTGAAAAAATGAGAAATTGTTTACTGCAGATTAGTAGGTAAGCACAAGTAAGCCCGTGCTTACCTTGCTTATTGGGTTATCTGACGCTCGGTAGAGGGACAGGGTGGTGAACACCAGTCCGAGGCGAGCCTGGGCCCGGCCTCCACCTGGGAATCCTCCCCAGATGGGGTCCTGAGGCCTGGCAGGGCAGGCCGTCACCCCCCATGCTCCCTGGCATGACTTCTCCTCCTTCCTCCCTGTGCAGTTATAGCCGTGATGACAAAGGAGCCTGAGGGGGCCAGCAGTGGCCTGTGGTACACAGACCGGAAGTTCACCATCAGCCTTACCGCCTTCCTCTTCATCCTGCCGCTCTCCATCCCCAGGGAAATCGGCTTTCAGAAATATGCCAGGTTCGGAGGCCCCACCTCCCTCCCCCCAAGCCCCCAGCACCTGGCAGCAGTGTGATCATGGGAAGCTGGAGGCCCAAGGGCTGCAGGCAACCCCTCCCCTCATGCCTCCTCACCTTCAGGGGGAGCAAGAGTGGTCAAGGCAGGCTGGACCAGGGCTTGCAGGGTTTCGGGTATAAGACTTCCTCTCTTGTCAGCCCCAAGGGAGACAGTGGCCCTTTGTGTCAGAGAGATACTCAGTTCTATGTGTCCTTGTCAAGGAAGGCCCGTGCCAGGACTGCGAGTGTGTAGGCAGCCTTTGGCCTAGGGCTTGTCTTTTCCTCAGTTATGGGTTATGTTTTCTTTTTTTATTGTAGTTGGGGTGCCAGTATCCAGAGCAAATTCACTTTCCTTACAGCAGCTCACATACACTTTGTCTCATGACATTGACTACAATTTCCCACAATGCAGCAGCTCCCCTCCCACTTCCTCCCCATAGTTACCTCTTCCCTCTGTCCTTCCCTCCCGTGGATTCTTGCCCCTCGAGCTGTCTCCCTGTGCAAACACTGCCTTTCTGTTCTCCCATGATTGATCTCTCCAAGGAGTGTAACTACCTAATGTAAATGTTTAGCTCATATACCTGTCTTTTGTTGTATTCTGTTTTTTTTTTGTTTGTTTATGTTTAAAATTACCATATTTTAAACTGACTTCTTTTGGAATACAGCTCTGTAAACTTTAAAACACATAGATGTTCACACAATGAGGATACAGGAGGGTTCTTCCCCTCATGCTATCCCTTTAGAGTCACACCTTGTGCTGAGCTGGGGGCAGTTTGACTTCCTGCTGGCGTCCTCTTTTAGAGAAAACCAGTTGCCACTGGGTTGATTCCAACTCCTGGAAAATTCTCATCTGTCAGAGTAGAACTGCAATCCATAGGATGTTTTTTTTCTTTTTTACTGTTACGTTTTTTTGGTAGTTTACACAGCAAATTAGGTTCTCTTATAACAATTCTGTACATATCATTCAGTGACATTCTTTACATTTTTCACACTGTGTCAACATTTGTCATTAGTTCCACTCTGGTTGTTCTGTTTCCATTAATCTAGACGGCTCCCTTGTTACCCTCCCGAGAGGGACCGGGTCTCCGGGAGCAAGGTAAGCACGGGCATAGCACAGAGTACCAGGCCGGAAGAGCAGGAGAAAGGGGTAAAACCCAGGGAGCCAAAGAGAAGAGCAATCAGCCGAAGGGATTAGGTGAGGAGGGGAAACTCAGGGACGCCCAAAGAAGCAGGCCAGAAGAGCAGGAGAAAGGGGATTAAAAGACAG